TACTTTTTGGAGCCTATTCAGTTGCTTCCCGAAGCAGTAAAGCTCCTACAATGAGGTACCTTTTCACTAGCTTGACGCAATCCACGGGAGCAACTGCGGAACGCACCTTTGAAACAGAAAAACCTATCACTTCTCGCATATGCATGGGCATAGAAAACCATTCATTTTCCCCCACCAAAAACGTTCCCGGATAAATCAGAAAAAATCGAAATAACTTCTACTAACTTTAGCAGCCATCGAATGATCGAATTCAATCTTAAATTTAGATCGGTAGCTAAGACTGGAGAGGAGGACGCTGCTATGATCCATCAAGTCTTCAATAAGCAACCTAATTTGGACCTCTGTTTTCAGACGAGTCACACAGAAATGGAGATAGCTTGAAGCTTCCCCTTCGGTAACATTTCATCAATGGGACGCGTGTTCCCTATTTTTCGTGTGGATGTGGAATAATTGGCCTAAGACTGAGCCTAAGCCTAACCATAGGCTTACGCATGAGCCAATGCGCAATCTAAGCCTAAGCTTGAACTCATGCCTGAGCCTAACCTTGAGGCTTCAATCATTGCGCAGCTCTGGTGACCTGACCTGAGGGGAGAACTGAACGTTTCCTGGGGTAAACCCATGCGCATACGACCCTTAACAGTATGTCGAAAACGGCTCTCGCTCCAACCCTTACATGGACGGAGGATTCCACCCTAGTTTCATGTTTGAAACACTTTTCAGACAAAATACGAATCTGAGCTGTGCCTTGAATAAACTTCAGGATAAGACGACTAATACATTTTCCCTTCATTTACTCACATATTTCCCTAAGAAACTTCTATCGTCTGCTTCTGCTCCATGCTGTCGCGCTCGTCGTTCTCTTTCCATCATTTGAACGAACAACTGAGTGTCAGGTCTGAAAACGAAGAATTAACTATGCAGACAAATCACTACAACTTAGTCTCAACAAGGAGATCACACAGCAAGCTCACGTCGGAAGTACTCCTTTGGTGTTTACGTGCACGACAGCACTTGGTTGAACAGAAGTTGAAATGACCAGCTGAGAACAGTCAAGATTTGAATCGAGTGGCTTATCACCAGCTGCCACTATATCCGGAAACACTGTCAATGACTGAACAAGTTGCCGTTCTGCGTCGACAGACAGCCAGAAGTAGTGGAACAGATTCGATTGTAGCAGCAAGCACTGGAGTAAAAGATGATCAAAGGGGCCTTATAGTGGGTTTGACTGTATGTTGGCTGGAGCTAATTTGTGAGAGAGGGATGAGATTACCGTGGCGTCGAGCGTGGGCGGGCATGTCGTACTGCATTCTTGCAAAAGATGGATGGTAGGTCGAAGTGGCCATCCGAGATTAGAAGGCTCTTTGAACGCTGCGCTTGAATCTGTACTCCGCACCTGCTGAACTATTCTCTGGACAGAACCACAGTGGTTCACGTGATGAAGAGCAAATTCAGTTCAGCACGAATATGAGATGCATACGCTGCATGGATATGGGGCGGTGGCCAACTGGTTGCTACACCGGTCTCATATCTGCAAGACCACAGCTTAATCCTTGGAAATACTGCCACTAAACTACTGGGCGCTTGTTTTTCCACACATCAAGTAAGTGCCCCATCCAATTTTGCTGAAAATCAACAAGGGAAGACTGGTGTGGTGAAAAAGAATCTCACAATAAGGATATAATCTCAATCATAATCTCATAATAAAATATAATCTCAATAATCTCACAATAAGGGTATGTGTATTTTTATGCACTATAAGGATAAATATTTTTCCTAACCACTTAACCACTTCAATGTCAGAAAAATGTAGAAAGCAACAAGCCAGCTAGTCACGCTATCCTTCGTTTTGTTCCCTCCTTAAACAGTACTGGTTGTGACCGATACCGCCAAAAGCGTGAAAAGGTACCGTTTTGCTAGATGACATCAATTGATCCTTCGGGTGAGTTGAGCTCCTCGCCAATACCAGATATGTGGACGCAGGATCGGCAGCCATCCCTTCACTTAACCGATTACCACTTGCCGCTCGAAACGTTGCCGTATAATTACCGTCAAACGACCTTCGTAGCTCAATTTTTCCGAGAGGATGGACATCGTTCAAACCTAAAACAAAATAGTTGATCCAACCTAATGTGGGATTGAAATGAATTTCAACCTTACTGTTCAAAGAATACTCCAAATCCACCACCCACTCGGCGACACACCCAGCCACTATCACGCTCAGCAGAGGAATTAACATCCCTGAAATGAAAAGATTGAGCTTTTCCCGAATTAACATATGTTTGAACCATAGGGCAGAGCAAACCGAGACAATCGTTTTCGAATTAGGGGCTTAGGAACACGCAGTCGCGACAAACTTCTTCAAGTGACGATCCCAAAAAAGGTGCTTGCTGGGTGAATCCCATTACGTCCTTCACACTCCTGGCGGTGAGGCCGAATCGAGGTCAACCGTCCGCTCGCACTATTCGAACGAGGGGATCGCATTTGCGATTTGGGAAGGGAGGGAGTCGTATTTGGGGCTGAGAAAGGTTATTCAGGCTTGGGAAAAGCGCGAGTGAGGGTCGTATTCGTGTTCGGGATTTTCGATGGTTTTGGCGAAGATCACGAATTCGCGAATGAATAAAAGTAGGCAAAATTGCAAGCTTTGTTTATAGATTTCCACTTAATTAGACATACCCCCTCATCCGACGGCCTCTGTATCAACTAATAGAAACATGGCGGGGGTAGTTGTCGGGTGGAGGAAGGAATCGTGCGGAGGGATCCCTCTATGGCTGACGATGATGTGTGCGGGGGGGGGTCCGCAAAAATTTTGTAGAAGCACGGACGCGACAGTTGTCCTTGGGCCAAATCATGCTTTTCGAACCATCACTTTTCGATCACGTGATCGTGCGTTCCTTCGTAAAGTACGTACGATACGAGTAGTACGATACGTATCGATCACCGCGCGATCGCAACCAAAAGTATGACCACTTCCAGGCCTAAGTTGCGAATAACGCTCCTAGTGCAACGTGAGTAAGGCCTATCAACAGATGTCATATCTATCATGAATGAACTATGTTAACAGTTTCATAATGAGTACAAGAGAAAAAGGATAGATTCAGTGTGGAAAATACCACTCCAAAAGTAAAAATGCCGACTTCGAAATTTTTAATGGGAATCAAAAATTACTACAACGTACATGAGGCAACGATCATATCATCTAATCACAATTTCAAATGTCCGTCACAATGACCCTTCAGCACTCCTAACAAAACAAAACAGACTAGAACTACGACCCTAGACACTCAGTGAAAGTCGGAACAAAGGAATGCAATTGGCATAGATTACATGAGGTGTTACTATTGAAGAAGAATGCTAAATTATTAAAGATCAAGGCGGCAAGTGTGAAGGGGTGAAAATGGTCCGTAAATATTGGTAGCCAAACAAAAGTATCACTGAGTAAGCACAGTAAGATTGTATTCAACACAATTCAACGAGAACAGAGAATGATAACAAGCTCATCGTAAATTCAATTCGTTCTGTCTTCGGCAATATATAACTCCCGCACTTGATATTTTCTGTTGGAGCGACGCTCTCTAAATCGAGCAACGTCCTTCCGTGTAATGATACCGCGAAGCTGAAAATACGGAATTAAGTACGATACAACTCTGGAAAAAAGAGGAATCCTACTTTATTATCATCGTTGACTACTGTGAGATATCGCAGTCCGAGCCCACGGAATAACTGGAAGATGAACGGTAGTGAAGCATTGAGGGGTACGCGGTGCGGATGAGGATGAATGAAAGGTTCAAGATCCATCCAGCACTGCTCATCCGAAGCAGACAATCTCAGAGAGTCAACAGATTTGTCTTGTTGTCTGGAAACAAGATAACAATAAATGGGTTGGAGCAAATGGATAGACTTGAGAACGACACCCTATTTTTGAATGATTGGGCCATACAACGCTTTTTTTCTTTCGAAACAAGGACTCATTAAATGCCCTAATGGGACTAGAACAGCTTCAAAAGCGCAAAAGATGGAAAACTTACACATCCTCATCGAAGAAATCGCTAAGTTTGATCTTTTCTACTCGATCAACACCTTCGAGGCCATCCATTTCAGAATAAAAGACCTGAAAAAAAAGAATTTAAAAATCAATCAAGCGAAGAATGTGAGACTGATTAAAACGCTCCACTCAAGCTCGCCGGGACCTGCAACTCTGAATGCTCCAAAAACACATCCCTGAGAGGAGAAACAGCATAACGAACTACTCATCCTCAGAACGTAGAAAACAAAAGGTGTGAGGAACACTCAAGTAAGTTGTGGTAATTAAGAAAACGAAGATTATACGGCTTTGCGCAGTGAGAACGAGCGTGTGGCCAGCATTATACCACTGCGAGAATAGAGAATATACAAAGATGCAAAACGGAACCCTGATTCTTGATTGGAAATGAGCAAACATCAGAGACCCAAGAGACTAGCCAAGGAATTGAACTTTAGGCAAGGACGGAACTACGATGCGATTGGGTGATGGCTGTTGTGCTAAAGCGGTTACATCCCTTTGATCACCACTTTAGCACTATCACCAGGCCAGACACCCAGTAGTCAGCATACTGTTAAAGGTGCGGAATGGGTATCACTGCTGAACCTCACTGCAGAGACGAAGTTACTGAGAACTTTCTAGATGTAGATACCGACGCTACTGCACGACATGAAGGCATTCTCTAGGACTAAGATTAGGAGGGAGGAGAAACATCAAAGAAATTGAAAGCTGCTCACGTTTCTCTCCTCCCCCCCCCCTGGGGCTTATTCCGTTTTTAAGGATATGTTTCATGCAAATACAAGTGCATTCCCACCACAATTCACCGTATCCTGCGGTAGCACCTTAATCACTTTAGAAAAATCATTGCAAACTGTAGAACTTCAAACGCCACTATTTTACGATAAGAACCTTACCATCGAGGATAACGCTACAGCAGCTGTTGAAATTCGGCATTCATTGTTGTGAGCACGGGCGGGGCTCTTTCAAAACAAGGGCGACTGTAAGTGACACAAGGGTTAAGCCCAGGGGAGGGGAGCGAAGCAAGGGAGAGCATAAATTGATCATATCTCTTCCGCTCCTCAAACCTAGTCCCATGTACTGTAAGTGGCTCACTCACTTGTACGTCCTCCCCCAAAACATGAGCGCCGCGTTCAGACTAAATCAAATCTTCAAGAAAAGGTCAGGTTAATCCAGCTCACAATTCTAGTATTAGCTCATATGGAAAAGCGAAAGTGAACAAATCACAAAGTCAGTTAAGCGAACTACGCACCCGTTTCTCGAGTAATGTGATCAGCTGGCTTCTCAGTATTACTCCTTTCAAGTGCCCATAATCAGGAAGTGATGAAAGCGGTGATTCTTCAATCCTATCCACAACAGGGAATCCATGATGATTCGTTGCCGTAATACAGCAATTACTCTTGATACACGCTCACGACGTTCCATTGCGACAACATCGGATCGCATGACTTTCCTTAAAAAGAGCTAGATGATTCGGTTTCCAAAAATGAAAGACAAGGTGTGTTGCTAAGATAAAATCTTTAAAATTGGGGGGACAAGGTCTCTCAATGCCAGGCGACACCTCTTATGCCGTAGGAGACGATGCCTACTAAAGCCACGTGGAGTGCCTAAGGTTTTCGAAGACCACATTTTTCTTTTCACGGTGACTCACCCACCGGAAAAAAGTGATATTTTGCGCTGTGTACTTCGTAATGCGTTGTGTGAGTACAAATCAAAAACTTTGAAAATGAAATAACCCTAACCATCGCAGCAGAAAAACTATACGCAAATTAGTAGTACCAGGGGGAGTAATTTGTAGCACGAGAGTAATTTAGTGAACTTAGTCGACATTATGATTTCAACATATGTTAATGCTATGTAGGACTTCTTATCGTGGTGAGGGGGAAAAACTCGGCGATGGTGATATAACTAGG